CCCCCTGGGTTCAGGTGGATCTCCTGCCTCAGCCTTCCATAGCTGGGAACTTACAGGCATGTGCTCCACGCCTGGTAATTTGTATTTTTCTTTGTAGAGACGGGGTTTCTCCATGTTGATTAGGCTTGGTCTCGAACTCCCGACCAAGGTGATCCACCCATCTTGGCCTTCAAGGTGCTGGGATTACAGGTATGACACCACTGTGCCGGGCCCCAGATTATGTTCTTTATCTCATTAACCTCTTTTTTTCAGATTGAAGGTTCCCTTAGTTTCTTTTCAAGGACAGGGTCTGGGTGTTGATGAAATCTCGTTTCAGCTTTGTTTTTCGTCTTTTATTTTTCCTTCATGCTTGAAGGATATTTTTTGCTGGCATACTATGTCTAAGAGTAAAAGATTTGTTCCTTTAGACTTTATATATGTTCATGCCACTCTCTCTTTGGTCTGCGTACAGTTTCACTGAAAAGTTTTAGCTGCCCCAGACATACTGGAGCTCCATTGTATGTTGTTTCTTTTCCTTGGCTTTTAGGATCCTTTCTTTATCCTTGAGCTTTGGAGTTTGTTATTAATGCTTTGGAGTAGTCTTCTTGGGTTAGATTGGCATGGTGTTCTACAGCTTTTTGTACTTGAATATGGTTATCTTCCTCTAGATTTGGAAAGTTCTGTGATATTATCACTTTGAAGAAACTTTCTACCTCATCTCTCTCTATCTCCTCCTTAAGGCCAATCATTCCTAAGATTTGCCCTTTTCAGGCTTTTTCTAGATCTGTAGATGTGCTTCATTCTTTCTGATTTCTTTTTTCCTCTCCTCTGTGTGTTTTTTCTGTCTCTCCCTCTGTGGTGTGTGTGTGTGAGGTGTGGACAGAGTTCGCTTCTTGTTGCCGGGCTGGAGTGCAGTGTTGAGATCTTGGCTCACTGCAACCTCTGCCTCCCAAGTTCAAGTGATTCTCCTGCCTCAGCTTCCCAAGTAGCTGGGATTACAGGCATGCACCACTACACTTGGCTAATTTTTGTATTCTTAGTAGAGGCAGGGTTTCACCATGTTGGTCAGTCTGGTCTTGAACTCCTGACTGCAGGTGACCCACCCACCTTGGCCTCCCAAAGTGCTGGGATTACAGGTGTGAGCTACAGCGCTCAGCCTTCTCTGTGTATTTTCAGATCGATTGTCATCAATCTCACTAATTCTTCTGTTTGTTCAATTCTGCTATTAAGGGACTGGACTCTGATGCATTCTTCAGTATGTCAGTTGCATTTTTCGACTCTAGAATTTCTGCTTCTTTTTAATTATTTCAATCTCTTTGTTAAGTTTACATCATAGAATTCTGAAATTCTTCTCTGTGTTATCTCAAATTTCTTTGAGTTTCCTCAAAACAGCTATTTTGAATTCTCTGTCTGAAAGGTCACATCTCTGTTTCTTTGGGATTGGTCCCTGGTGCCTTATTTAGTTCATTTGTTGAGATCATGTTTTCCTGGCTGGTGTTGATGCTTGTAGATGTTTGGGCAATAAAGAGTTAGGAATTTATTATAGTCTTTGCAATCTGGGCTTTGCAATCTGTGCCTGCCCTTCTTGAGAAGGTTTTCCAGGTATACGGAGGGACTAGGGCCCCAAGCTCAGTAATGCTATGGTTCTTGCAGACTCATAGAGGTCCCACCTTGGTGGTCTTGGATAAGATTAGGAAGAATTCTCTGGATTACCAGGCAGAAACTCTTGTTTTCTTTCTTATTTTCTCCCAAAGTCTCTCTGTGCTGAGCTGCCTGGAACTGAGGTGATGCAAACACCCATGTGGCCACCACCAGTGGAACTGCCCTGAGGCAGACCTGAAACCAGCATAGCACTGGGTCTTGCCCAGCCCATTGTAACCACCACCTGGCTACTGCCTATGTTTGCACAGGCTGTAGGGCTCTACAATAAGCAGGTGGTGAAGCCAGCCAGGCTTGTGTCCTTCTCTTCAGGATGGTGAATTCTCCCAGGCCCCAGGCAGGTCCAGAGATGCTGTCTGGGAACCAGGGATTGCAGTAAAAACCTTACAAATCTACCTTGTGTCTTATTCTACTGTGACTAAGCTGGCACCCAAACCACAAGACAAAATCCTTCACACTCTTCCCTCCCCTTTCCATAAGCAGAGGGGCCCCTCCCTGTGGCCACCACCACCACTGACCCATGGCGAGTTCTATCAGACCACCACCAGTGTTCACTTAAGGCCCAAGGGCTCTTCAGTCAGCTGTGACAAATGTTGCCAGAACTGGAACTCACCCTTCAGGGTAGTGAACTCCCCTCTGGCACAGTGCAGGTCCAGAAATGCTATCGAAGAGCCTGGACCTGGGGACCCCAAGAGCCCGTTGGTGCTCTACACCACTATGGCCAAGCTGATACCTGAAGCTGGTGTGTCTGAGTCTCACTCAAGACCCACAGCATACTGCCTGTGAGTCACTGTTGGCTACTCAGGGCCCATGGGTTCTTTAGTCAGCAGGTGATGAAACCTGCAAGACTGAGTACCTCCCTTCAAGGCAGAGGGTTCCCTTCTGGCCCAGGGTGTGTCTAGAAATGTTGTCTGAGAGTTAGGGCCTGGGATGGGGGGCCTCACGATTCTGCCAGGTGCCCTGTCCTATTGTGGTTGAGCTGGTATCCACGACGCAAGACAAAGTCCTTACTCTTCCCTCTCCTCTCCTCAAGCAGAAGGAAGGAGTCGCTTTCGTTGCTGTGAGCTGCACTGCCTGGGGTTGGGGGAGGGGTGGCACAAGCACTTCCTTAGCCACCCAACTGGTGTCCCATGTCCACTGGCTCTGCACTCAGCACAGAAGAAGGATTTACCTAGGAACTGCAGTCCTTGTGGCCTAGACTGCCTTTCAAGTTTATTTAGGATCTTAGAACACTTTAGCCCACAGTGTTGAGGCTTGCTGAAACTCAAATTCTGACTGCTGGGATGGACAATTCCCCTCTGGCTAGGGCTGGTCTAGATGCTCTCTCTGTGGATGGACATCTGCTGAGTTTAACTCAGTTTTGCTTTCTGCTGTGACCAGGCAGCACTGAGTTCAATGCAGGGTCTCACAATTGCTGTGCTTTCCCTCTCTCAAGGGCACAGCACCTGCTGCTGCTAGGGGAACGGGGGAGGACAGCATTACCAATTCAAGACTATCTTTCCTACCTTCTTTCAGTGACATGAAGTTAAAATCAGGCACTGTGATTGCTTACCTGATTTTTGGTTCTTATAAAGGTGCTTTCTGTATGTGTAAATAGTTGTTAAATCAGTGTTGCTGCGTTGGGGGACAATTGGTAAAGGCTTCTACATTCGGCCATCTTGCTCAGGCCTCTCCTGATTGAACTGTTTCTTAAAAATTATTGTGGCTGGGCACAAAGGCTCACATGTGTAATCCCAGCACTTTGAAAGGCTGAGGCAGGAGGATCACTTAAGGCCAAGAGTTCAAGACCAGCCTGCGTAACATAGCAAGACCCCATCTCTACAACAATAAAAAAGTTATCTGGGCATGATGGTGCCTGCCTGTAGTCCCGGCTAGTTGGGAGGCTAAGGTGGGAGGATTGCTTGAGCTCAGAAGTTCAAGGTTGCAGTGAGCTATGATCATGCCACTGCATTCCAGCCTGGGCAAGAGTGACACTTTATCTCCAAAAAAATAATTTGGCTGGGTGCGGTGGCTCACACCTGTAATCCTAGCACTCTGAGAGGCTAAGGTGGGTGGATCACGAGGTCAGGAGTTCAAGACCAGCCTGGCCAAGATGGTGAAACCTCATCTCTACTAAAAATACAAAATTAACTGGGTGTGGTGGCACGCGCCTGTAATCCCAGCTATTCGGGAGGCTGAGGCAGAGAATTTTTTTTTTTTTTTTTGAGACGGAGTCTTGCTCTGTCTCTCAGGCTGGAGTACGGTGGCGTGATCTTGGCTCACTGCAACCTCTGCCTCCCAGGTTCAAGTGATTCTCCTGCCTCAGCCTCCCTAGTAGCTGGGACTACAGGTGTGTGCCACCACGCCCGGCTGACTTTTTGTATTTTTTTTTTAGTAGAGATGGGGTTTCATCTGTTAGCCAGGATAGTATCGATCTCCTGACTTCGTGAGCCACCCGCCTCAGCCTCCCAAAAGTGCTGGGATTACAGGTGTGAGTCACCGTGCCTGGTGCAGAGAATTTCTTAAACCTGGGAGGCAGAGGTTGCAGTGAGCTGAGATCGTGCCACTGCCCTCCAGCCTGGGCGACACAGCAAGACTCCATCTCAAAAATAAATAAATAATTTATTTTAGACTTTTCATTATGCTTGAATATTTTCAAAATAAAAATTAGGGAAAACATTTCTCTCTAATGTATACACCTAAACAATTCCACTGGCCTTAAAACTCTAGCTAGTCTTTCTTGCCATATAAATTCTTCTCTGAGGGGTATCTAAAATAATAAATTCCTCTTTTTTTATTTTATTTTTTAAAATTTTTTGAGATGGAGTCTTGGTCTGTTGCCCAGGCTGGAGTGCAATGGAGTGATTTCAGCTCACTGCAACCCCTGCCTCCTGGGTTCAAGTGATTCTCCTGCTTCAGCCTCCTGATTAGCTGGGATTACAGGCACCTGCTACCATGCCTAGCTAATTTTTGCATTTTTGTATAGATGGGATTTCACAATGTTGACCAGGCTAGTCTTGAACTCCTGACCTCAGGTCATCTACCCACCTCGGCCTCCCAAAGTGCTGGGATTACAGGCATGAGCCACCATGCCCAGCCATTACTCTCTTTTTAACTTGAAACTTCTTCAGAACAATTACTGAATACATCATACCACTTTGTATTCATTGGTGATTTACATGTTTAAATCCTTCAGTCAACTGCAAGCTCTTTAACGTAAGGACTGGGTTTTATATAATGCTGCACAAAACTGATCTCAGTGTATTACTCATATAACACCACGTCTGTTGATGCTCATTAAGTTAAGTCAGCTAACAGTAACTTTTTTACTCCAGCTTGCCAGGAGTAAAAAAAAAAAAAAAGAAATGGAAGTCAAGCAGAGAGTCTATTTAAAATATCAGCTTATGTTTATATAGTGTAGAATTCATACAGCAATCAAAGAGCTTTACAGTCTGTACCTAGATGCTCATTGCTATTCAGTGACTCATATTCTTCATAATTTTTATTTAAAAGTTGAAGTCTGTAAGTCTTAACTTTAACATGATTAACAGTATTATGTTTTTTCTTTATGTTTTGAATTTTTTTGTAGACATGGGGTCTATTTTGCCCAGGCTAGTATCAAATTGTTGCCTCAAGAAATCTTCCCCTTTTGGCCCTTCAAAGCGCTGGGATTACAGGCATAAGCAACCACTGTAGGCCAAAGTACTTTGTCTTTAAATAAAAGGTTTATAAGTAAGCCTGTCATTCATATTTCACTAAATTTTACCATATTTTCCTGAAGTAGTAGATGAAAAATGTATTTAAATTAATTCATAGATGGCAGGGAAAAAAGGCGTATAAAGAGAACAAGTGACCTGTCCTAAATCGCACAATCACTTCTCAATACTTTCCCTTTTCAGTGATGCATGCTTATTTTCTACTTGATGAGTTGGATCGTACTTTACAGGAAACCTAAAATAAATCCTTAGGTTAGGAAATGTGACTTCGATTCATTAAAAAACATATATTTATGTGTAATGTGTTCTTATAGCTGTAATTTACAAATATTCATAAAGATTTCCAAACCTCAGTCTGCCTCTTGATATAGGTCCATTTCATTTATATAATCATAAATAATAATAAGTCAGTATTTATTTTGCTGATTTAAGGTGTTCATCCAAAAGTTCAACAACGGCTTCTTCATCTGCTGATTGAAGCAGTCTCTGAATTAGCTGATCCAGGCCCTTCCCACCACACAAAAATTCCTGGTAAAAGAGAGAGCTATTATGAAACCTGGTAAAAGAGAGAGCTATTAAGAGAGAGCTATTATGATGATTAGAAATATAAGCAAAGACTTTAGTGTTTATTTCATTTCTTTGCAGTCATTATTAATAACAATAAAGCACTACTGATGTTCTACAATACAATGAACACAATTGCTAACTTGGGAAGATCCCCACTCTGTAGAAGAATTCAGTTAGCATTTTATTTTAAAATAAATCTTCTGAGATTTGGATTTTCCTAACAACTCCAGAGACAACAAAACAAAGATATCTAGATGGACTTTTGAAATTGACCACCTCCCTCCCTTTAAAATTCCATTGATTGGCTTTTATGACAACACCATTCTAGACTCTCAAACCATCTTTGGGAGAATAGGTTTGCTGAATTCTTTCTCTTATTATACCCTAAAAACAATTGCTTTTATTCTTGTCCTGAACATTCTACCCTTTTCACTCACATTATCTTATTTCCCAAAGGAAAAAGACTGAAAGGTCTCAATTCCACAAGCATTTTGTTCCACAAGCATTTTGTGCATTAACGCGCATACTGCTCCTTGCCAGCTCCTCTGGGGAGGCTGAGAGAAAGCCTCCCCTGACCATTCCAGCTTACCCTTCGGCTAATCCTCTAAGTTTAGATTATTTCATCTGTAAGTGGTTTATGACAGTTTTTTATTTTTAAACCAAAAACATGGTGACCTAGAAGTCCTGTGTAACTGAAAAATATTTTTGTTGAAATATTGAGGGGTGAAGTCTTTGAGGTCTGCAATTTGCTTTCAAATGGTTCAAGAACAACATGGGTTTATAGAGACAGAGATGGTGGGGGAAAGAGAAGGAAAATACAGTAAAATATTAACAACTGTTGAATCTAGGTATAGTCTGTATTGTGTTGACTGTCCTAATCTTTTTTTTTTTGAGATCGGCTCTTGCTGTGTCGCCCAGGCTGGAGTGTAGTGGTGTGATCTCGGCTCACTCACTGCAACCTCTGCCTCCTGGGCTCAAGTAATTCTCCCACCTTAGCTTCCTGGGTAGCTGGGACTACAGGCACATGCTACACACCCAGCTAAATTTTTTTTTTTTGTATTTTTTGTAGAGATAGGATTTTGCCATGTTGCCCAGGATGGTCTCCTGAGCTCAAGCGATCCTCCCACCTCTGCCTCCCAAAGTGCTGGGATTGCAGGTGTGAGCCACTGTGCCCAGCTGACCCAATCTTTAAACATTATGTAAACTTGAAAAATTTTGAAATAAAAAGTTGAAAAAAAAAATTTTCATGTTTACCACTAAATAACTCCACTGGGTGAAAACTGTTTTCAGTTGACTTCCCTGAAGTCTTCTCTACAGTTCTCTGAAAAATGACTAAATTAATGACTTCAAGAACTTTTCCTGTATAACAGAAATTCTATGTAGTAAAGTTGTTGGGATTAATGAATTTGTACATTGCCATTTTAGAAATGCTTGGAATTTAGACACTGGCTTAATGAAAATACTTTAATGCTGGCATCTGGAACACAAAACATTTAAAGTTTTGATACAGTTATGAACTAATCTTATAGTTAAGTCTTTCCTGAATGGTCTTAAAGTTGAACTTTAGGTAAGTGTAGACACATATCTCTCAAATTAAGGTAAAGAATATATCTTACTATTTCTGTATTCCCCAAAGTACTAGCAAATAGTAAAACCTCAAACTCTGAAATTAAACAGAAAGCAAAAGCATTATGATATAACTTTAAAATTAAGGTTTATATCATTTTGAGCATAATATGAAATTGCTTTTAAAGTCAGTGTGACTAGGCCAGGCGCAGTGGTTCATGCCTGTAATCCCAGCACTTTGCGAGGCTGACGCGGGCAGATCACCTGAGGTCAGGAGATTGAGACCAGCCTGGCCAACATGGTGAAACCCCATCTCTATGAAAAATACAAAAATTAGCCAGGCGTGGTGGTGGGTGCCTATAGTCCCAGCTACTCAGGAGGCTGAGGCCAGAGAATTGTTTGAACCCGGGAAGCAGAGGTTGCAGTGAGCAGAGATCGCACCACTGCACTCCAGCCTGGGCGACAGAGCAAGACTCTGTCTTAAAAAAAAAAAAAAAAAAAGTGTACCGGGTGCTCACATTATTATAGTATTGCCAAGGTAATCATCTTTGGAACTGATGTAAAAAGGATTATCCCTCTACTGAGAGTCAAACACATTAGATTCAACTGGATTAACCAGAGTGCAAGAGATACAAAGGTCAGAGATGAATGAGTCATAGTTCCTAACTTTCAGAGGCTAAGTAGAACAGCTAGACAAATACATAAGCATCACAAAACAATACAAGAAATTAAAAAATGAAGGAGAAGAAAGGAAGGATTGTAAGGAGCCATGAATTTTGACAGGAAGGTGGCATCAGGGAAAGATTCAGGAAGCCAGAAAGTTTTGAATTTGGGTTTACAAAAAGAATAGTATTTTCCTGAATAGAAATGAGCAGAGCATTTCCATCAAAAGAATGAGTATTAGAGGCTGGGTGCGGTGGCTCACGCCTCTAATCTCAGCATTTGGGAGGCTGAGGCAGGCGGATCACCTGAGGTTGGGAGTTCAAGACCAGCCTGACCAACATACAGAAACCCCATTTCTACTAAAAATACAAAATTAGCCAGGCATGGTGGTGCATGCCTGTAATCCCAGCTATTTGGGAGGCTGAGGCAGGAGAATCGCTTGCACCCAGGAGGTGGAAGTTGCAGTGAGCTGAGATCATGCCACTGCACTGTAGCCTCGGCAACAAGAGGGAAACTGTCTCAAAAAAAAAAAAAAAGAAAAGAAAAAAGGAAAAAAAAAAAGAATGAGTATTAGGACAGGAAAACTGCTGGATGTGGTGGCTTAGCCTGTAAACCCAGCACTTTCGGAGGCCAAGGTGGGTGGATCACTTGAGGCCAGGAGTTCGAGACTAGAATGGCCAACATGGTGAAACTCCTTCTCTACTAAAAACACAGAAAAATTAGCCAGGCATGGTGGCATACACCTGTAATCCCAGCTACTCAGAAGGCTGAGGCAGGAGAATTGCTTGAACCCAGGAAGCAGAGGCTGCAGAGATTGCACCACTGCACTCCAGCCTGGGCAACAGAGTGACAATCTGTCGCAAAAACAAACAAACAAACAAAAACAGGAAAACAAAGTACATTTTAATCTCTAAGGCCAGGGGAAATTTCCAGTGTAACTGGAATATAGAGCAGGAGTTAAGGCTGATGTGAAGAAATCTGCATAAGGACATTGAGAAACAGAATAAAAATGTGAAACAATACATTATATGGTAGTCTATGCTTATTAGCTAGATAAATAAAAGTAAGAAGGTTACCTACAGAGGAAGTCATAATGAGAATACCAGTGATCTCACAGAACCCAAGGATAGGAATGTGGAATGTGCAGGGTCACGAGTACCACCTGCGGAATGAGACTGAGCCTTGGGAATAAATAAATGTAGGGACTCATATCAGGGTTCTTTCTATTTCTCATTTTTGCTTTTCTCTGTGTATCAATTTCATTCTTTTCTCACTGAAGATGCTTTCTCTTGGTGGCTGAAAATGTGGCTTCTAATCTCTTATATGCTTTATATATTACAGTTTCAGCCACCAAGAGAGAGAATAATCCTCTCCATCTCTGATTTTAAAATCCAGGGAAGAAACTCACGGGCTGGGACTTATTTAGGTGTCCACTCCAAAAAAATCCACTTCTGTCCTGGGTCAGGATCACAATCATTTAAGAATGCAGCAGCTCTGTCAAAAACTGTGGATGTGGTACGAAGGGCAAGTTCTAGAATAGGGGAGGAGAGCTAGGCAAAAATTCCAAAGACACTCACATTCTTTCCTATCTACCCCTTCCATTTGTCCAACAGCTGTGGCCCTGGGGTTAAGATCCTTATCACTTTTCCAGCTTCATCTATGATTGGTCCTAACATATCACCTTGGTTTTTAGACAGATTCGCTCTGCGCCCAGGCTGGATGCCAGTGCACGATCTCGCTCACGCAACGCTTCTCCCCCGGTCACCCATTTCCTGTCTTTAGCCTCTTCAAATACTGGGGACTTACAGGCACCCGCCACCATGCCTGGCTAATTTTTTGTATTTTTAGTAGAGGCAGGATTTCACCACGTTAGCCAGGATGGTCTCGATCTCCTGACCTCGTGATCTGCCCGCCTCGGCCTCCCAAAGTGCTGGGATTACAGGTGTGAGCCACCGTGCCCAGCCAATTATTCACTCTTTACTGTCTATAGTCTCTTTACTGTCCTTCACACAGATTTTAATGTTTTACTACAGCTGCCTTTTTTTCATGCTGTTTTCGAACTTTCTTCCTTTCACTACTATGGAATGTCTTCTTTCCTTCCAATAGACTAGTTAGTGATTATTAGAGCTTACCAATGTTATTTTCCTTATGACTTCTGAGTCTGGCACGCTAGTTTGGTTAGTGATATATCATTATTTAGGCCAAAGTCAGATATTTTATAACTACAGAAGCCAGTTAGTTACCTTCCCTTTGTTTCACAACCGAATACTATACTATGCACCTATGGGCCCATCTAAAAGATATTACTGGTCATAAGAATGTGGCTATCTCCGAAAAAATTGTCACTACTACCAGAAAAACAACTGAAAGAACATGGTGTAATTACAGCAATATGGCCAAACATGTTTGGTTAATACTGTGTGTTTCCTGAGGAAAGGGAAATTAGCAAATATTTTCCTCCTTTTCAATATGGCTACTATGTTCCTATGTAAGATAGCCTTATCCTGCTGAGGAGAGGGAGGATGTGGCATAAGACATACAGAAATTGACAAACATAGTAACCTTGTAAAACCAGAACTTTTTTACAAGGTATATTTCCCTTGTAAAACTAGGACTTTGATTTTGAGTATAGAATGGGACAGAGTCAAGTGAAAGAAGCCTTAGGTATCATACGGCACCAAGGAAAAAGATCAAAGCTTTCTGTCTGCTGCCTTTGCCACATAGTCCTTTATGGGACCAGTTCACTTTCTCCTTCAGTGGCAACAAAACAGACATTTTCCTGTGCTTCATCATTAATATATTTATATATTTATGTCAGTGGTCTTTGCTAGATGCGATTTAGACAGGTTAATGTTCGAACAATCTTGACCGAGTCTTTTCCCCAACAGCCTAACTGTAACACCTCAATCTAATGAAGACACATTGTGGTAGGGAGAATTCTAAGATGCCCCCTGGTGTACACACTGTGAATAACTCCCTCTCAGTGCAGACAGGACCTGTGAAAATGACAGAATATCATTCTAGTGCCTAGGTGACGAAGCAGTTGACTTTGAGTTAATCAAAAGGAACATTATCCAGGTCAGCTTGACCTAAACGGGTGAGCCCTTAAAAAGGCCTGAGTCATTCCTGCAAGAAGAAATTCAAAGTGGGAGAGAGCCTCTGGAGGGAGCCACTGGGAAACAACTTCCAACAGTATTTAGGCACTGAAAAGCAGCCTCCCGCTGCCTGCCAGCAAGGGAATGGGGACTTCAGTCCTACAATCCAAGGCAATGGCATTCTGCTGGCAACCACGTAACCTTGGAAGAGGACCCCAAGCTCCAGAAGAGTATGGAGCCTGGCCATGCCTTGATTTCAGCCTTGTGAGATCCTGAGAAGATAACTAAGCTCAGCTGTTCCAGGATTTCTGACCTACAGAAATCATGAGATACTTTAATCATGGGTACCGCTTTAAGTTGCTATATTTGTGGTAATTTGTTACCTGGCAATAGAAAACCAATACCCATGTATATATGCAGACTGAATATATGTTCATACATTGTGATTGCATAACGAAGAATTTGGAATTTAGAAAAGATCATTGTTTTGGCCGGGCGCGGTGGCTCAAGCCTGTAATCCCAGCACTTTGGGAGGCCGAGACGGGTGGATCACGAGGTCAGGAGATCGAGACCATCCTGGCTAACATGGTGAAACCCTGTCTCTACTAAAAAATACAAAAAACTAGCCGGGTGAGGTGGCGGGCACCTGTAGTCCCAGCTACTTGGGAGGCTGAGGCAGGAGAATGGCGTAAACCCAGGAGGCAGAGCTTGCAGTGAGCTGAGATCCGGCCACTGCACTCCAGCCCGGGCAACAGAGTGAGACTCCGTCTCAAAAAAAAAAAAAAAAAAAAAAGAAAAGATCATTGTTTCAAAATGGCATAAAGATCATTATTTTTTTAACCAGCAAACTAATGAAAGTGTTTGTAAATTTTTGGGTGGCTTAATGATTTAAATTACTTGGAAATATTTTAGATATACTTGGTAATATCTACATATAGGTTCTAGAATTTGACTATGTTTTCTTCTGAAATCAAAGGTATACAAAGCATACGCAGTAGTATTACCTTAATATCACGAACTTCATATGCTATCCTGTGGTCACTGACTCTATCCTGGGTGAAATTATATGTCCGAATTCGCTCTGACTGGGCTCTTGTTCCCACCTGTGCCATAATAAAAAGCAATTTATATTTTACCTTTATAAATGTCTTCATTACAATGGAAAAAGCACTTGGCAAATGACTATTTCAACAATTTAGATATTTTCTAAAAGTCATATATACAAAATGACAAAGAACAAGAATGGGCAGAACTTAATGTTTAACACTACAGGTCTGTAGAGCTCAGTTATAGAATAAGAAGGAATGTTTCTTTGATATTTCAAACTCAAAATACTTAAAATCAAATTAATCATCTTTCCACTCCAATCAGTTCCTCCTCCTGGTTTCTATAAATGACAGCACCATGTATTCCCTTTTATCCAAGTAGAAAATTCTGACATTCTGCAATTTATCAAACATTTTGTGGGTGTGAGTTTACTATGCCAGGCTTTGATACAGATGCACATGGGGGGACAGACCATCTTCAATTCATCCCATTCTCCAGCCGCCCATTTCCAATTGGTTTCATGGGTCTCTTATTATATCCTGCCCTTTCCATTTCTACTACCACTCCTGGACTCATTACTTTCACCTACAATTCTGCAAACATCTACTGATTCATCTCCCATTTTTCTGCTCACTTTGTGCTGCCCTGCTTAGTCTTCCTACAGTACAGTTTTCTGATAAATTTTCTTTGGTTCCTTCTTGTCTACTGAGCAGACACAACTCAACTCAGCATTCGAGGTACTTTGTAACGTGGCCAATCTTCCCAATGTTATTTCTGAAAATTATGTGAATCTCCATAATGCCACTAATAATACTATGTCATTATTATGTGTGTGTCTGTTATCTGTGCTATGAAACATCATCTCAAGGGATGCCCTTCCCTAACACTCTCCTACCATTTCTGCCTTTCTGGTCCCAGCAATTGAAATATATTCTCTTCTTCCTCTGAAACCCATTGTACTTGGAATGTTCTTCATGGCACACCACAGTTTGTCTCATGCTACAGTTATTTGCATTCTTCCTAGTTTGCTCATCTCCTCCACCTCCCCAACACCCGATATACACAACACCCTGTCTCAAATGCTTTCACTTTTTAAAATAAAAGAAGATAAGATATTTCTATAACTTATTGTCTTAAACCCTAAGGCAAGTGATATGAAACTAAACTCCTGACCATTAGAAGAATTTTTTAAAATTATGGATTCCTAAGCCCAACCTCAGAGATAATGGATCAGAATTATGTATTTTGAAAACATTCCCAGATCATCTCTTCTGACAATCAGCCAAGTTTGGAAACCACCCTCCCAAAGCACCATATTAATGGCCAGGACCTCACTCCAGATCAGTTACATCAGAATTTCTGGGGTGGGGCCTGGGCATCTATGAAAGCTTGTTAGGTGATCAGTGGACCCAGGATTGGGAATGTGGCATAATGCCTTCTGTATAAAAGCCAAGTGTATATCTTGATCGAAGAAAAAAACTTCTAAGCCTTAGAAATCCCTATTAAAACATTTCAGGTAGGTGGATAAGTTATTCAAGAGGCAGTGATGTCTTTTTTGGCTCGTCAATCAGACCACTGAAGAAGACATACATGAACAATTTGTATAAAGCCAATCTTGAACACCTATTTTAAAAATTACTTTGTGGGCTGGGTGCAGTGGCTCACACCTGTAATCCCAGCACTTCAGGAAGCTCAAGTGGGCAGATCACATGAGGCCAGGAGTTCGACAACAACCTGGCCAACATGACAAAAACCCATCTCTACAAAAAATACAAAAATGAGCCAGGCATGGTGGCTGTAATCCCAGCCACTCGGGAAGCTGAGGCACAAGAATCGCTTGAACCCGGGAGGCAGAGGTTGCAGTGAGCCAAGATCGTGCCACTGCACTCTAGCCTGGGTGACAGACAGAGAATCTGTCTCAAAAAAAAAAAAAAAATTAGTCTGTGGAACCTCTGGTGCCAACATGTTAAACAGCAAGTAAATCCAAATGTCTTTTTAAAATTCAAATGTGGCAGAGTTCATAGTATTTATGTTATCACTTATTTGCCAAGAAGTAATGGTGTGTACTCAGGGTATATTATTTGCTTGTTAAAAACAAAAATAAGTTATGGTTTGTAAACGAGCATTCCTGTCGGCAAATGCATACACTGATAATGCTCTACAATCGGGGATTACCACTAACAGTGTTAATATTATTTATCCTGTCACTTTTACTACCTGCAAGTTAGCACGTAGGTAAAGAAAGCTAGAAGCACCAAAGTGTGAAAAAGCTAGGACACATCGAGATGAAAAGTATAACTAATGCTTAGGTTTAGACAATTCATTATCCTAAAAGGCCACAAAATCTTCCAAATTTAAATTACTGTAGCATAGCTAGGTGTAGTGGCATGTGCCTGTAATCCCAGCCACTCAGGAGGCTGAGGCTGGAGAATCACTTGAACCCGGGAAGTAGAGGTTGCAGTGAGCTGAGATTATGCCACTGCACTCCAGTCTGATGACAGAGTGAGACTCCATCACAAAAAAAAAAAAAGAATTTATATATTAGGTTTACTTAAAATAATGACATTTATTCATTTTGCTTAGAATTCATCTATTTATCTATTTAAATAAGTAACACTATACCATATATAGTACAAAATTCAAAAAGTACCAAACGATATATAATGAAAAATAAATTTCCTTTCTACCCCTTATCCCTAGTCTCCATCAGTAGGATTCACTGTTCCCAGTTTTTTGCAGTGCCATTTGTATTTGATCTCACATAGAGTTATAACACAAGCGTAGGTTTTAATTTTTAAAAATCAAAAACTTTCTTAATTCTCAAAGAATTATTTTGTCTTTTAAACCATTTTCCTCTTAAGACAGTAATGATATAAACACAAGAGGGAAACAACTAGGAAATACTTTTTAGTTTATACACCTTTCATTTACTAACTTGCAAACTGGTATGCCCAAGTTCAGCCATAAACTATCCGTTCATTTGCATTGAGTTACTGCTTATTTACAAAGGAGCGCATTTCTCTATGCTCTGAAACATTCCCATTTAAGCAAGAACAAACACTGCATTCTCTACAGAAAGTGACTTTTCTTTAAACAGTCACTAAATTATTACACCAAGTAAATCTTACCTGCAGTTTTCTAGCACTTTGTTGCTGACGCTTGTCTTTCTCAATAATCTGCTGGTAGAGTCTAGCTCTCAACACACGAAAAGCTATTTCTTTATTTTTTATCTGTGATCTTTCTTGTTGGCATTCTACTACTAGCCCTGAAAAATAACAAGGATCAGAAGGTAAACTGTAGCTTCCACCAAATTAAGATAGAACCAAGGAACAGTTAAATGAGACAGGTTAATCAGGAAAATATCACAAAAGAGAAAAACATTTTAGGTTTAGCACACTTCAGAAACTAGCTGCGTTATGAATGTAGCTGTAGTTGGCGCTTCAGACTCTGATATGTAAATGAGAACTCTGTATGAGCACCCAGAAAGCAGCAGCATCTACAGATGCTTACCTATCCTTTCAGTCCCTGAGCTTGGCCTCTTCCTCCTCACTCATCCAGGCATCTCTGCAGCTCAACAAACAGCAAACTACTGCTACTTTGTATACTGTGCTGCTCCATTCTCTGTTCAACTCAAGAACTAGCCTCTTCCCCTTTCAGTCACAAATATACACAGAGCTGAGGTTTTAAAGATACCTTTATAATGGCCAGACACGATGGCTCACACCTGTAATCCGAGCATTTAGGGAGGCCGACGCGGGTGGATCACAAGATCAGGAGATCGAGACCATCCTGGCTAACACGGTGAAATCCCATCTCTACTAAAAATACAAAAAATTAACCAGGCGTGGTGGCATGCACCTGTAGTCCCAGCTACTTGGGAGGCTGAGGCAGGAGAATCGCTTGAACCTGGGAGGCGGAGGTTGCAGTGAGCCGAGATTACACCACTGCACTCCAGCCTGGCAATAGAGTGAGACTCCGTCAATAACAAAAAACAAAAAACAAAAAACAAAAAAACCTTTATAGAAAAAAGCCAATGAAAAGATGCTACTCAGAGTCTTTAAAAAGAAGAATTTATAGTGAATGTTTCTGAGTTGTCTGAGTTCTAAATTTCTAACTTGTTCTGCATAGTCTGAGTTAGCTGGGGTCCAGCTAATCAATACATCTAACCACACACAAGTTTTGGCTGGCCAGCTTCTGCATTTGGGTGGGTTTGGCCCACTGTGTCGTCCAGTTACTGGCCCAAATCCAGCCCTGAAATGATCACTTCTTGAGGCTGTGTTGTTCTTAACTTTGTAGCTACCACTCTGAGGTCCATGTCTAATCCCGCTCCTCAGTACATCAGAGGAGAAAGGGGTTTTCTTTCTGACTCACAAAAACTAAAAACCAAAAGCCCCATTAGCTTGGCCTATCTGCACTGATACAGTGGTAAATATTTTGCTGGAGATTTAAAGAATTTCTATAAAATTCTATTCTCTGAACTATGTTTTCTCCCTGTCTAAATAAGCTACAGTCACTACCTGCTAATATTTTTAGTAGGGCACTGAGGTTTCACCTCTATTAGTTTAATCACTTCCTGACCTCTTTACTGTGGCCATCTGGTTGGACTGGGGGCACTGACTGACCCCCATCTTCCAGGTATTTGTCTGGAGTTTCCCTGACTCTCGTATCCTTTTCGTATTACCCCAAAGAATATGAACATTTCCATTTTAAGACAGCCAGGCTTTCATGAGCTCTCCTCCACATTCCTCTTCTTGTCAGCTGATCTGTACTGATTTTTGCCTAAGCACCTGTATTATTCCTATCTACTCACTCAGGTTAGAACTTTTAGATCAAAACTATTACTTTCCAGCTCAGTAATTACTAACGGAATCAGTTGATTATGTATTTTATTATATACTTTCTAAAGAGGAGTATTTAATAATAAGTACTCCCTTAAGAATAGAAGATGTAGAGGGAGGGAAGATATATTGAATAACAGAAGAGGGCTGGGTGCGGTGGCTCACACCTGCAATCCCAGCACTTTGGGAGGCAAAGGCAGGTGGATTATTTGAGGCCAGAAGTTCTGAGACCAGCCTGGGTAACACAGCAAGATTTCGTCTCTACTAAAAATACAAAAAATTAGCCAGCGTGGTAACTGCACCTATAGTCCCAGCTACGCAGGGAGCTGAGGTAGGAGGATGGCTTGAGCCAAGAGTTCGAGGTTACAGTGAGCTATGATCATGCCACTGCACTCTAGCCTGGGCAACAGAGCAAAACCCAGTCGAAAGAAAGAAAGAGAGAAAGAGAAAGAGAAAAGAGAGAGAGAGAAAAGAGAAGAGAAGAGAAGACAAAGAATTACAGAGGCCATCTTTTATTTTACTCACCAACTGGTAATAAACTAAAAAGCCCACTTTAATGCATAAAATATTCATTTGTCTTCACCCTTATCTTGGGATAAATTTTCCCAAGAAAGGTAATATTCCCCTGTATAAACATTTAACCATACCCCTATGAATAACTCTTCCAATGGTGGAAAATGGAGTCATCTAGAAGCAGTGGTTAGAAAAAAAATATGATTCTTCAGAGTCCATGGCATGGAGAAAAATAGAAGAATAGAAGCTATAGTTTTCACTTTGAATTCTAGCAGCGACAGTTCCTAGTCTAAGGTCTTGGGATGGAAGAAAGAATGGGAGAAATGGAAGAAAAGCTGAGTTTTCCTTGAAGCAGATGCTGAAACTATGGCAATCCTCAAAATATGGAAGAAGCAGGCTGAAGAAATCACTTCGTTATAACTGCGTGGCTTCCTAAGGGCTAGGTCTTGACATGCCTTGCTTGCCTAAAGGGAAGGTTTGAGGGCAGGACTTCAGGCCTCTTTAAAACCAAAGACTCAGATCTAAGTGGTTAAAAGATAACTGGCCCAAGGTAAGTCTGGCAGCACAATGATAAGTCACTTTCTTTTCCTTTTATTGTTAGTTGACATGTAATAATTGTACATATTTATGGGATATAGAGTGGTATTTCGATACAATGTGGAATGATCAAATCAGGGTAATTAGCACATCCATCACCTCAAAATTTATTTATCATTTCTTTGTGTTGTGAACATTCAAAATCTTCTAACTTTCTGAAAATATGCAATAAATAAATCACTGTTAACCATATTCATGCTAAAGTGCTGCAGAACACCAGAACTAATTCCTCCTAACCGGCTGTAATTCTGTATCCCTTACCCAACCTCTCTCTATCCTCCCCTCCCCCTTACCCTTCCTAGTCTCTAATAACCACAGTTCTACTCTCTGTAAGTCACTTTTTGTAAAGTCAGCAATTTATGGCTACACAGGGTGGTTTTACAACCTTTAAGTTTTAAAGTATTCTGGTTTATTTTGTCAGAGTTTTGATCACCTTTTACCCAATTTTTTACCCATTTTAATTTTTAATTCATCTGAAGCTAATTATTACTGTTCTGGACTATGTATAATATAGAATGATATCCAACAATACAGGGTTTAGGTGAAACACATTAAGTATCCAACAATTTATGGATTGTTGAAATAAATTATGGCAAGTTACAAAAAGTATAACCTCAGGACGGGCACGGTGGCTCATGCCTGTAATCCTAGCACTTCAGGAGGAGGAGGTGGGCAGATCACTTGAGGTCAGGAGTTTGAGACCAGCCTGGCCAACATGGCAAAACTATGTCTCTACTAAAAATACAAAAATTAGCCAGGTGTGGTGGTGCACGCCTGTAGTCCCAGCTACCTGGGAGGCTGATGCAGGAGAATAGCTTGAACACTGAAGGCAGAGGTTGCGGTGAACCAAGGTTCACTGGTCACTGCATGCCAGCCTGAGTGACAGAGCTAGACTCCTTCTAGCAAAAAAAAAAGTATAACCTCATTTTTTGGGGAAAAAATGGCATATTACTATATGTACATAAAAGAATTTGAAAGGATGTATACCAAAGATATATACCAACAATGGTTACTGGGTTATTATTACAGATGTTTTATGTTCTTTTGCTCATGCATATATTATTTTCTTTTTTTTGAGACAGAGTTTCACTGTTGCCCAGGCTGGAGTGCAATGGTGTGATCTCAGTTCACCGCAACCCCACCTCCCGGGTTCAAGCAATTCTCCTGCTTCAGCCTCCCGAGTAGCTGGGATTACAGGCATGCGCCACCACACCCGGCTAATTTTGTATTTTTAGTAGAGACGGGGTTTCTTCATGTTGGTCAGGCTGGTCTCGAACTCCCAACTTCAGGTGATCCACCTGCCTTGACCTCCCAAAGTGCTGGGATTATAGGCATGAGCCACTGTGCCCAGCCTTTTTTTTTTGTTTTGTTTTTTAACAGTTTCCTATGGAATAAAAATCAATAAAGGAAACTTAAGAGAAAGTATGAAATTATCCCATTGTTGGATATTTATGTTGTTTTAGCTTTTCATATAACAAACAATACAAGCAATCAATGATGTCTGACTTCAAGATGGTTTCCGTTTTTTTTTTTTTTCTGAGATGGAGTTTCGCTCCTGTTGGCCAGGCTGAAGTGCAATGGCACGATCTCGGCTCACTGCAACCTCCACTTCCTGGGTTCAACTGATTCTCCTGCCTCAGCCTCCCCAGTAGCTGGAACTACAGGCATACACTACTACGCCTGGCTGATTTTTTTGTGTTTTTAGTAGAGACGGGGTTTCACCATTTTGGCCAGGCTAGTCTCAAACTCCTGACCTCAGGGGATCCACCTGCTTCAGCCTCCCAAAGTGCTGCGATTACAGGTGTGAGCCACTGCGCCTGACCCACCCCCTTTTTTTTTTTTTTTTTTTTGAGACGGAGTCTTGCTCTGTCACCCAGGCTGGAGTGCAGTGGTGCGATCTCGGCTCACTGGAAGCTCCGCCTCCCGGGTTCACGCCATTCTCCTGCCTCAGCCTCCTGAGTAGCTGGGACTACAGGCGCCTGCCACCTCGCCCGGCTAGTTTTTTGTATTTTTAGTAGAGACGGGGTTTCACCATGTTAGCCAGGATGGTCTCGATCTCCTGACCTCGTGATCCACCCGCCTCGGCCTCCCGAAGTGCTGGGATTACAGGCTTGAGCCACCGCGCCCGGCCAGCCACCCCCTTTTTTTAAATCACACTACAACAAGAACAAGACACAGAAACACAAACTCCATCTGAAATAAAAGTATATAATCCCCAAACATGATCTACTAAAGACAAAAAGTGGACGGAAGAATGGTAAATGACTTAGCAGCTGGAAGGAAGGTGACACTTAATTCCCTGTAGAGGGACATGCTGACCAGAAACTGGCCAATTTGCCCTGCTAAGTGCCAGAAAGGCTCAGAAATAGAGACACCAGGTATTTAAAAGTCAGGTCTGAGGAGCTAGGGCTAAATACAGAAAGCCTATAATAACAAATAGATCCTCAAGTCTCCTTCCTCAATCTGCAGAAGGCAGGAGGTATATTTCTGGATAATTAAATCAGGAAAATTCTAGACCTGGGACTAGTTACAAGGGAAGGCAAGTGTGAACATGGGCCGGAAGTCCAGAGGATTAAGTAAACGACTGCTATTGAACGGTGAGACCTTGACCTTACTCTCAGCTGTATCCTGGAAGATCCTTCTCAGGAGAAAACAAACTCGCAAGAGAAAAGGTCCCTAATAAAAAAGCTGATTAATGCTCTAACTGATCTACCGTGGAACTCACTAGTGGGTATGTGGATAAGTGCACTCAGAGCTTTAGAACCTGACTCTTAAATATGTACAGACAGACAAGAATTCCTAGAAATTTCCAACATGAAAGTAAGAATGGGCCGAGTGTAGTGGCTCATGTCTGTTATCCCAACACTTTGGGATGCTGAGGCAGGCAGATCACTTGAGCCAAGGAGTTGGAGACCAGCTTGGGAAATGTGGAGAAACCCAGCGTTTACCAAAAAAAAAAAAAAAAAAGCAAGAATTAGCCAGGCAAGTGCCTGTAGTTCCAGCTACCAGGAACAGGGGGCGGGGGAGTGGTGCTGACGTGGGAGGGTCACCTGAGCCTGGGAAAGTCACAGCTGCAGTGAGCTGTGATCACACCACTGTACTCCAGCCTGGGCAACAGGCCAAGGCCTTGTCTCAAAAAGAAAAAAAGAAAAGTAAAGCAAGCATGAAACAAAAATAAACTCAGAAGAAACATAGACACTGCAGAAAGCAGAAGGGAACATCAGGGAAACTAAAAGTAATATCCTTGAGCAATAAAAAAAAGAAATAAGTATCAACAAAATAAGAAAAGGATGCTATGAGAAAACAATTCTGAGAACAAGAAAGCTCCCAAAAGTTAAAAAAATATATATTTTTTAAAATCAGAAAAAGGGTAGGAAAAATAACTAAAAAACAAAGTGACAGACAGTATGAGGGAAAAAAAAAAAATTCAAGCGGTCTAACATCTAACTAACAGAAATCCCAGGAAGAATAAAGAGAATGTTATACAAGAAATAATTGAAGAAAGTATTTCAGAGCTGAAAGGCATGAGTCTCTAAACTGAAAGCAACAAATACAAGGAATGAAAAAGACTTTCAATGCTCTAAGAGGAAGTTATTTCCAAGAAATGATCGATGAAGTGTAAAGTTAGAATAAAGCTATTTTCAGATCTCCAAAGCCTGAAATATTTACATGTCACAAATCTTTCCTCAGGAAACCCCTTAAAGATGAGCTTTGTTAAAATGACACAGTAACAAAGAGAAAAAGACACTATGGAACCCAAGAAATGGGAGGATCCAACACAGAATAGAGGTGAAAGGAACTCCCCAACTGCTGATGACCAGGACAACCCCTGTGCAATGTCCTGGGGAGCAGCTTGTCCACACTGGAGCAAGATGATGATGGAGTGCTCTGTCAGGGGGTCTCCAGAGAGCACTGGAGTGACTTCATTTTACACAGCTTTTGGAAGATGCAGGCAGACTCCGAGTCAAAGAAAAGTAGGCAAATGAAAAATCAATGAGGTAATTATTAACTCTAGGAAATGAAATCACAGGACTGTATACTAATGGGCTCGGCATCAAACACTGTTCATTATATGAACACAGTGAAAATTAATTTTGCCAAAAGACAAATATTTGGAAGAGGAAAAAGTATACAGGAAGGGCAAAATTCTCATCTACAACATTAAGACGTAAATATATAACCTTTATAGTTGGTCAGAAGAGCACTATTTGCCTATTATTTAGGAATACTGAGGTAATTACCAGAAGAAATAGCTAAAAGAGGCTTATTTGTTTTTTGCAGCTAGAGAAGTGAGCTAAAAGAATTTAAAGTGGTTATCTTTAGGAAATGGGAACTGAGGGTAGAGGAAGTAGGAAGAGGGTGGGAACAAGTTCAGACAGCTGTTGGTTTTTTTGTTATAGGACTTTGCCATTAGACTTTTAAAACTATATACATGAAATGTAAAAATTAATTTTAAAAAATTAAGAAGTTAAAAATTTTTAATTTGAAAAATGGTAGGAATATTTAAAATCACATTACAGACCGCAAAACTACCTCAGAGTATACCAAAATTACCAATATTCAAAATAAAAGCATTAGTGCAGCAAAGCCTAATGGAGTTAGCCATCATGCTACAAGGTGACAGAAGATCCACGGTGGTGGCCTGTCCAAGGCTGCTTCTGTGTTTCGTTTGTATTTAGGCTGGGGCACCTCTGGTTGCTCGCTCCTGTCCAGCATACCTGGGAAGCTTCCCTGAACAGGCCTGCTCACTGTCCGCATCTTTTCAGAAAGGAATCGTTCCAAACAGAAGGGGAACATGAACACAATAGCCATCCTTATCCACAACCCCAGTGACATTTTTAAAGAGCTGTGCAAGGAACCAGACACTCACATAGGATTATTTCCTTCCAAATGCTGAGTAAGATGGAAAAATGGTTAAAAGTACAAAGCCAAGGGGCTTGCTTACCTGTGGGGATGTGGACAAGTCTGACAGCACTATCAGTTGTGTTAACATGCTGCCCTCCTGCGCCTTTGGCTCGAAATGTATCTATTCGCAAATCCTTGGGGTCCAATTTCACATCCACCTAGAACAGAAGGGATGGCATAATTCTACACTCTGTGAATACTTTAATATGAAATCGATTCCAAGATTTTTCAAATAAACTGTACTGTTTTAAGTTATAGCCTTTAGACTAAGAGAAGTAACTTATACCAAAGAAAGAGCAATAAACTGCCCATTCCAATAGGATGTTATTTTTTGTTTGTTTGAGACAGGATCGCTCTCTGTTGCCTAGGCTGGAGTATAGTGGCACAATCATAACCCACTGTAACCTCAAACTCCTGGGCTTAAGTAATCTTCCTGCCTCAGCATCCTGAGTAGCTAGGACTACAGGTGCGCACCACCATGCCATGTTAATTTTAAAAATTTCTTGTACAGATGGGGTCTTGCTAATTTGCCCAGGCTGGTCTTGAACTCCTGGCCTCAAGTGATCCTCCCACCTTGGACTTCCTGAATGCTGAGGTTACAAACATGAGCCACCACACCTGGCCCTGGGATTCCATTTTTAAGCACTGATTTAGGATGTTATGAGATCACTGAGTTTTCAATCTATCAAAAGTTTCATCATTCATCATCCCAAAGTTACATGTAAGAAACCCCCAAAAATATATAAAATACACACATATATACTATATATTGTTGATTCTCATTATTGTTAGAATGTCTATTTGCAAATTTTCCTACTCACTAAAATTTATTTGTATCCTTGAATCAACACCTAAGGCACTTCCACAGTCATTTGCAGACATGCATAGGGCAGTGAAAAATATGAGTTGCTCCACACTTGCCCATTGCCAGCTGAAGTAGGACAAGGTAACACTGCCTTCTTGTGGCAGCTCTCCTACAGAGATGACCAGAGAATGGAGGTGTAGGGGGCAGGGCAGAGCAGTGCTCTGGCTCTGGGGCCAGTTGGACTGGGTTTGAATATGAACTCTAGCACCTGTTAGTGGAGGAGCATCAGGCAAGTCACTCGACACTCTTAGGCCTCGTTTTCTTTATTGTAAAGTATAGAGAATCTACCAGGATGGGTTATTTTTAGAATTTAAGATTATAATCTATGTGAGCTCAGTGTGTGTGTTTATGGATTTAGCTAATTTTTTTTTTTTTTTTTGAGAGAGGGTCTCACTCTGTTGCTTGGGCTGGAGTGCAATGGTGCAATCATAGCTCACTGCCACCTTGAATTCCTGGACTTAAGCAATCTTCCTGCCTCAACCTCCTGAGTAGCTGGGACCACAGGTGTGTGCCACCACGCTCAGCTGGATTTAGTTAATATTGAACCATTGTTCCTAACACTGATTTAACAAATACTGAACCATTACTCCCAAGTGGTTCAATATCTACTAAATTAGTGTTTGCTGCAACTTTACAGAACATAACTACTGGGAATAATGAAAATCAACTTCATTGATGTATGTGTGTGTTTATTAGTGGATTGAAAGGTGGCTCCCAAAAAGATATGTTCATGTTCTAATTCATGGAACCTTATTCGGAAAAGGTTCTTTGCAGAGGTAATTGAGTTAAGATGAGATTATCCTGGATTATCAGGATAGGCCCTAAATCCAATGACAAGTGTCCTTATAAGAAACAACTAGAGGAGACAGTAAAGGAGAAGACTATGTGAATTTGAAGAGTGGTATAGTTTCAAGCCAAGGAACACCTGGAGCAACCAGAAGCTGGAAGATGCAAGGGAGGATTCTCCCGAGAGCCTTCAGAGAGGCGTGACTCTGCTGACACCTTGATTTTGGACTTCTGGCTGCTAGAACTGTGAAATAATAAGTTACTGCTATTCGAAGCCACTAAGTTTGTGGTAATTTGTTACAGTAGCCTTTGGAAACTTATACACACACACACACACACACACACACACACAAATAGTTAACAAATATGTTTTGTTTTGTTTTTTGTTTTTTTTGAGACAGTCTTGCTTTGTTGCCCAGGCTGGAGTGCAGTGGCATGATCTCAGAATTCACTGCAACCTCTGACTCCCAGGTTCAAGAGATTCTCCTGCCTCAGCCTCCCGAGTAGCTGGGATTATAGGCGTGTGCCATCACTACCAGCTACTTTTTGTATTTTTAGTAGAGATGGGATTTCACCATGTTGGCCAGGCTGGTCTCGAACTCCTGATCTCATGATCCACCCACCTTGGTCTCCTAAAGTGCTGGATTACAGGCATGAGCCACTGTACCCAGCCTACAACAAATATGCTATTTTTAAGGGGAGAGCTAACATTTTGTTCCACATTCATCATTTTTATGATGAATGACAAAGCAAGTGTGACTTTTCTCTTTGAAAAGTAACTAGTAACTGGGTCAAGGCTGGAATCTAAGATACTGTTCAGCTGATTGTTCTTTTGTATGTTTCCTCTCAAGTGACTGCAACATAGTGAAGAAAAAGATTATACGGCTTTTGTTAATATATGTTAGAGTTGGCTGCCTTAAGACTTCAATAAGTACTGAAGAGATAAGAGTGACTCACCATTTCATGTGGCTATAGTATATTAAGTAGTTACATAGAAAATGTGTGGCTATCATATGCCACATTCTCCCAAACGTTACAGAAATGATCTAATGACTTTTGGGAAACTCTGGATACAGAAATGGTGACTTAGGGCAGATAAAGCATTTTAAATGTCAGTTAAGAGAACATAACCTTGTACTTTTAGAATAGTGAGATGCTACTAAATGAGTTTAATTTTCAAGAATATGAAAACAGGGCCCAGCACTGTGGCTCACGCCTGTAATCTCAGCACTGTGGGAGGCCAAGGCAAGCAGATCACTTGAACTCAGGAGGTTCAAGACCAGCCTGAGCAACATGGCAAAACCTTGTCTCTACAAAAAATATAAAAATTAGCCGGGCATTGTGGCACACACCTGTATAGTCCTAGCTACTCAAAAGGCTAAGGTGGGAAAATCACTTGCTCCTGGGAGGTCGAGGTTGCAGTAAGCCAAGATAGGGCCACCGCACTCTAGCCTGAGTGACCGAGTGAGAGTCTGTCTCAAAAAAAAAAAAAAAAAAAGAAAAGAAAAACAGGGTAAGTGGGAATGGGGCAGAAGAAATAAGGATGGAAGCAAGACAACTCTATGGTTTTGATTTTTTAACCATGTAAATGTTTAATATATGAAAATAAAATTAAGTAAAAGAGAAAAGAAAAATCAAAGCCTAAAATTAAATAAAAACAGAAATAAATGAACCAAAATATTTATCATAATAACATAACCACACAGAAAAAAATTATTTCAGATGGTCTCTGAGCATAGTGCTCTGACTATGCATTCTTTTTTTTTCGAAACAGAGTCTCACTCTGTCGCTCAGGCTGGAGCACAATGGCTTGATCTCAGCTCACTGCAATCTCCGCCTCGTGGGCTCAAGGAATTCTCCTGCCTCAGCCTCCTGAGTAGCTGGGACTACAGGCACGTGGCACCACGCCTGGCTAATTTTTTTGTATTTTTAGTAGAGACAGGGTTTCACCATGTTGGCCAGGCTGGTCTCGAACTCCTGACCTCAAATGATCCTGTCTGCCTCGGCCTCCCAAAGTGCTGGGATTACAGGCGTGAGCCACCACACCCAGCCTGACTATACATTCTTTTTTTTTTTTTTTTTTTGAACGGAGTCTTCTGTGCCCTCCAGGCTGGAGTGCAGTGGGCCGGAACTCAGCTCACGCAAGCCTCCGGCCCTCCCGGGTTTTTCACGTCATTCATCCTGCCTCAGCCTCCCGAGTAGCTGGGACTACAAGGGCGCCCCGCCACCCGCCCTCGCCGGCTAGTTTTCTTCTTCTGTATTTCTTAGCTAGAGAACGGGCGTTTCCAACCGTCGTTACGCCAGGAATGGTCTCGATCTCCTGACCTTCCGTGATCCGCCCCCGTCTCGGGCCATCCCAAAGTGCTGGGATTACAGGCGTGAGCCCACCCACCCCGGCCGACTATACATTCTTGGTAGAATATATTCTAAGGGAAAAAATCTTAAACTTACTCAGTAGTTTACTATTAGTAATGTTGATATTGTAATTTTGAAACTATTTTATATATAGTATATAATAAACCAAATAAACATATTAAAATGATTATGAAACAAGATTTTTTGTATAATGGAGAGATGTAAATACAAAATGCAAGAAGTTGAGGGGTGACAAAAATTTCTGTAATGTTAAATTTGAATTGGTAGTAATAATATGAAACTGATTTCAAAACACGTATTTCCTGGCTATATCCACTGAAGGAGTCTAGAAGTAACAACACTAACGATAATGAACAGACCTACTATCTAGATCTTGATTTCTGGATACATTCCCCACTAAAATGAACCAGGCTGACTTAAGTCTGAGGCAGGATAGTACAAAATGGGCCTGGGAATCTAAGTCTGTCCAAAAGCATAGATGCACTCAAATGATGGTATCATTTCAAAAGGACAAAAGGGGTACACTAAAAGGCTACTATAGACCAAATCTGGGACTATTTGAACATAAAGAAGAATAGTAACTACAAATAAGTGAATTAAAACATGAATCCATGAGTCTATAATGAGGTTAATATGTGAAACTTGATATATGAGTTTATAATGAAATCATACACTAGAAAAAGAACACAAGACAGTGTGGGCTAGAAGGTGAGAAGGTAGTAGGGAGGAAAGTTCTTTACAGAAGAATGCCAGTTAATAAATGTGGAAGGAATGACGGAATTAGAAAATCACCATCTTGCAACCCCAAAGTAAAGAACTGATTCAGGCAAGGATCACCAATGGATGTTAAAACTATGGATGAAAGGTAGTTGGGAACAGGATATAAGTACCCTAGAAATTACTTAGTAATTGCAAAGGGAGAAATACACTTTTACAACGGAGATATTTCTGTGGTCACCATCTTCACTAACTACTAAAACTAAAGCACACTAAAAGTGAGACAATCTAGCATTATGTGTCTTCTGATAAGAGGCAACATGCCTATAACTACACCTATGAAGTATTCTCACTCAAAATGTGTAACCTGCACGGAATGGAATATGTAGATACAACTTTCAACATAATACAGAGGATAAAGGAACAAGTTAAACAGTACCACGAGGAACAGTCAGAGGAATCCAGAATGTGGGACATTCTTCAAGACAAATGGTCTAGACTTTTCAAAAAGTCATTATCATTAAAAAATAATAATAATAAAAAGTTGGGAGACTGTTCCAAACTTAAAGAAATATAGCAACTAATTGCAACGTGTGAAACTTGACAGGATCCTGGTTAAAAAAAAAAAAAAATCACTATACCCAGGTACAGTGGCACACCTGTAGTCGTAGCTACTCAGGAGGTTAAGGCAGGAGGATCACCTTGAACCCAGGAGTTCAAGTTCAGCCTGACCAACATAGTGAGACCTTGCCTCCAAAAATAGATAAACAGCTATAAAAAAATTGGGGGCTGATTAGGGAAACTGTTAAATGTACTAGATATTCGATATTACACAATTATGCTTAGTTTTCCTAGGTAATGGTAGTGTGCTTATATAGGAGAATGCCTAGGAGATATATGTGAAAGATTTGGAAGGTAAGGTCTCATGGTGTCTGCTGTATCCTTTACAGTTCATTTAAGTAAATGTATATACATATACATAGGAATCAAGCAAATGTGAGAAAATGTAAACAACCAACCTCAGGTGAAGGTTATAACATTTCATTATGGTATCCTTTCAATTTTCTATATGTTTAAAAAAAAAAGGTTAGGGAAAAGAAAAATATAGAGCAGATGGCTGTATTCAACTAAAAAGTATGGTCCCCATACTGATATTATACCACTGACCCTGAAATATTATCTCTGGAATTCATTTTCTTTCTTAAGATAAAATTTAGGCAGCAACATTAAACGAACAGTTTTTGAAAATTAGTGACTTCTATTTAAAAGCAAACAAAACATCTTGGTCAGTGATAAGAGGGGCAACTTTGCCTGGGGGAGAATTAAAGATTTCTCATTAGAGACTATCAAGTCCAATCTGTAGCCATGAAAAGAACAGATTTCCGGCTGGGAGCGGTGGCTCACACCTGTAATCCCACCACTTTGGGAGGCCGAGACAGGCGGATTGCCCAGGGTCAGCAGTTCAAGACCAGTCTGGCCAACATGGTGAAACCCTGTCTCTACTAAAAATACAAAAAAATTAGCCAAGAGTGGTGGCATGTGCATGTAATCCCAGCTACTCGGGAGGCTGAGGCAGGAGAATTGCTTGAACAAGGGAGGTGGAGGTTGCAATGAGCTAAGATTGCACTCCAACCTGGGTGACAGAGTGAGACTCCGTCTCAAAAAAAAAAAAAAAAAAAAAGGACAGATTTTCCGAGAAGCTAAGGCTTCCCAGCACAATATCCGCTGACATGGAGTGAGTTTCCCATGCCTCCTGCTGAGGTTACCTCATCTGGTTGAGGAAGGACAATAACCGACATCGTTCCTGTGTGAATGCGCTGCATCCTTGAGGACAGGCCCACCTCGGGGATACGCTGAACTCGGTGAATCCCACCCTCATACTTCAAATGCTTATAGACACTGTCACCAGAAATTCGGGCGGCGGCATGATGTAGTCCACCTAGGGGAACAACAGTCCAGAAATAGTAATGAATTCTCCTTTGAAACAGATCAGGATCCTAAATGTCCTTAAGGCCTGAATGTGAGTACAGAGCCTGAGATGAGAACATAAAGCATGGGAGAACAAGGGCCTCTGAGAAGAAGAAGAAAAGAAGACATAAAGTAGAAACAAAACTACAGTTTCCCAATGTAAATGTATTAAAATATAAAAGGAAACATACCAAAATTTAATTAATTAATTATAGGAGCTAGTGATGCAACAATAGGAAACATACCAAAATATTATTTGGTTATGTCTGGGGAATAGAAGAATATATTTTCTTATTTCCAAATTTTTTATAATGAACAAGTTTTCTTTTTATAATAAGGGAAAAATACTATTTTAACAAAAAATAATACTGGGATGTTTTCTGCATTTAACTACCCTGTGTATTCTTAGGCTAATATGGTATCATATATAAAAAAATGCTCAATAGTAGAATAATTTCATAATGTTGAATAACTCCACAGATCCTCCCAAGTTTTCAAGAATTTATTGAAAGTCAGCTCTTGCTTATCTGTGGAGTGGGAAGAGTATTACAAAAGAATCTTAACACCTAGGCTAGCTTGGTTTTTTTTGTTTTTTTTTTTTGAGACAGAGTCTTGCACTGTCGCCGGGACTGGTGTGCAATGGCTCGATCTCGGCTCGCTGCAACCTCTGCCTTGTGTGCTCAAACGATTCTCCTGCCTCAGTCTCTTCAGTGGCTAGGATTACAGGCACCCGCCACCAGGCCCGGCTAATTTTTCATATTTTTAGTAGAGATGGGGTTTCACTATGTTGGCCAGTTTGGTCTTGAACTCCTGCCCTCATGATCTGTCCGCATCAGGGTCCCAAAGTGCTGGGATTACAGGCGTGAGCCACCATGCCCGGCCACTTGTTCTTATCTAATGATTTTTTAAAAATCTTTTTTATGATACAATAATATATGAAGACAGAAAAACACACAAATCAAATATATGGTTTAATGTCCACCACTCGGGTCACGAAAAAGAACTGTGCTAGTCACTCCATAAGCCCTCCCAAATGCCATTTTCAGTCATAATCCTCTCTCTTCCCTATGAGTAATCATTATCCTGACTTTTATTCCTTTCTTTACCATAATTTCATTACCTAAACGTGTAGCCCTAGGCACTACAGTTTAGTCCTGCCCATTTAAAAATGTTTGATGTATCTTTTTAGTCTATTAGTCCACATGCTTATCATCCATTGCTTTCATTTCCTACAAATGATCTGTTGAACGTGGGCTGCTGACCTGTAGAATTTCCAGCAGTCTGTTTTTGCGGATTGCATATTCTTGGTGCAAGTCACCTTGTTCTGCTGCCCTCTGTACTGGCAGCAATTAGGCAGCTGGGTGCAGACACTGGATCAGACCTCAGTTCGAGCCCCTTGGCAAGACTACAGGAGGTGTACGGTGTCTGGATGTCTCTCTTTTTACAGTCTTGACAGCCTTTGACACTGAATGGTGAGAGTCTAATTCTATCATTTCTTTCTCACTTATTAGTTAAAATACACTAATAAAGAGACACTTCTCCTTGTCTACCATTTGATTACCTAGTGATACAATTACATAGGAAAAGAAAGATAAATGTTTGATTCTGTCCCTTTTACCAGTTCTACCAATATACCAACCTTTTTTTTTTTTTTGTAATACACTGAACTGATTCATTTTAATCCTCTGAAGATGACCAATTAAAAGTTTAAATTATCATTATGAACTCAAGGATTGAAACACATCTAGCATGTTTAAACCAAGTACAGTTATTATTAAAGCTCAACTAGTCCCATCTTTGGCCCATAGAGCCTCTTCAAATTGACTTCTGAATTCTTTTGACATGCCTCATTTATATGGGACATGCCCCATTTGTATGGCATAACAAGATATTCCAGGATTATCTTGAACATTTTTTGCCCTAGACCTGGAATCAGCCATGTCTCCAAGAAGTCCTGGTTCGAGAGAACCAGGCTAGGGTTGTCCACTATCACTGGATTTGGTTATTATTTCTAAGCCTTTTCAGTGGCCAGAGATAGGAAATAACCTCATGAGTTCATGTGATGTTGAGACACAATTTTCCATGGGTCTCTTGTGTTCCTGCACATCTTACAAATGAAGCATTGCTGGCTATTTCGCTCTAAAATATCTTTTAAAGGTGGTTTGTGCAGTGAACAGCCTTGGAAATAATGTGTTCCTCCCGAGCAAAGGATAGGTTTCCACAGCCTTGGAAGACAGAGATAGTGTCTCTTTCTAGAGCAATGTGCAGGCATGCCTACTGCCCATTAAAAAAATGGCTGGGCGCAGTGGTTCATGCCTGTAATCCTGGCACTTTGCAAAGCTGAGGTGGGCAGACAGCAGGAGCCCAGGAGTTCAAGACCATCCTGGGCAACACGGTCAAACTTCATCTCTACAATAAATACAAAAATTATGGCTGGCGCTGTGGTTCACGCCTGTAGTCCCAGCACTTTGGGAGGCCAAGACAGGCGGATCACGAAGTCAGGAGTTCAAGACCAGCCTGACCAATAGGATGAAACCCCGTCTCTACTAAAAATACAATAATTAGCTGGGCGTGGTGGCGTGCGCCTGTAGTCCCAGCTACTCGGGATGCTGAGGCAGAAGAATCGCTTGAACCTGAGAGGCAGAGGTTGCAGTGAGCCGAGATTGTGCCACTGCATTCCAGACTGGGTGACAGAGCGAGACTCCATCTCAAAATAAATAAATAAATAAAATTAAAGAAAAATAAAAATAAAAAACTTAGCTAGGTGTGGTGGCATGTGCCTGTAGTCCCAGCTACATGGGAGGCTGACGTGGGAAGATGGCTTGAGTCCAGTTGAGGCTACAGCGAGCTGTGGTGGTGCCACTGCCCTCCAGCCTGGGAGACGGTGTGAGACCCCGCCTCAAAAAAAAAAAAAAGACTCAATTTCCTTAAGTTCAGTGCTCTTCTCCTATAATGCAGCCTACCGTGTGGGCAGGTATCATCTGGTCTTCTTCGTTGTTGCCCTGTGGGACTCTGGGCTCAGGGAACTGGCACAAAAATGCTGATACTCTGGCTATTGCAGTAACCCTGAGTAATAAACTGTCCTTCACCGCTGACCCATGAAACAGCCAAAGGCTAACTTGTCAGTGTGCAAGCAGGGTAAAATCTCAGACCTTTCAGAGTTTTTACAACTGACACTTCCAAGTTAAATTCAACCTCTTTTCTATTACACTTTTATTGTGTTTCTTCCCATACCAAGAATCTTGGTTCTTAAAGAGAGGGCATTAGAATTAAAATATCCCACAATTACTCATCTGTTTTTATATTATGCTACACACCTAACAGTCTCAGAATACTAATACTAGTTCTACTAATACAATTACTACAAACATTAAAACTTTTTTGCATATGCTCTTGCCATTTGCCTCCCATTTTTCAAATGCTTGTACTATATCTACACTGTCAGATCATACAGTCCTTATGGAACAAATTCATTCTCCTTAGCTCTCAATTAGTCCCAGTTCTTCATCTAACTGAACATTTCATGCTCACCCCCACTCCATATTTTGCTGTCTCTCATTTTAGTTGTCTGAAGCGTGTTTCTAGTAGATTCCACAGAAAGGGACCATGGGAAGAGTATTTCCTGAATTCTTGCATAATGAGAACAATTTGCTCCCTTCACATTTATAAGTCAGTTGTGCTGATTATAAAATCCTTAACTCAACTTTCTTTCTTTCTTTCAGTGAACTCTATCTCTCTCTGGCACAAAGTGCTGTTACTGAAAAGTCTGAAGGAAATCTAATCCTTCCCTTATAAGTCTCAGGGTCTTTGTTTCTACATGTCTAATGGATCTTTTCCCTTTTTTGTAAGTCCAAACATTTTATTAGCCGATGGCTTAGTGTTGGTTGTTCTAGCTGGATATTTTCAGATGTGCACATGGTTTCAAATCTTTTCTTTTTTTTTTTTTTTTTTTTGAGACAGAGTCTTGCACTGTCGCCGGGACTGGTGTGCAATGGCTCGATCTCGGCTCGCTGCAACCTCTGCCTTGTGTGCTCAAACGATTCTCCTGCCTCAGTCTCTTCAGTGGCTAGGATTACAGGCACCCGCCACCAGGTCACCCGGCTAGTTTTTTGTATTTTTTAGTGGAGACGGGGTTTCACCATGTTAGCCAGGATGGTCTCGATCTCCTGACCTCGTGATCTGCCCGTCTCGGCCTCCCAAAGTGCTGGGATTACAGGCTTGAGCCACCGCGCCCAGCCTCAAATCTTTTATTTCTATTTCAGAAGAGTTCTTGGGAAATATAGATGTATTTATCATAGGCAGCCTCAAGGGTGGCCCCCCAGGATCCCTGCCTGCTGGTATTCATACCCTTACAGTTCCCTCCCAGCTGGTCTGTATGATCAACAGCATATGGTATGGCAGAGGTGATACTAAGTCACCTTCTGAGGTTAGATTATGAAGAACCATGGCCTCCATCTTGCATCACTCACTTGGGAGAAACAGGTTGCTAAGTCGGAAATAGCCCTATGGAGAGGCCCTCCTGGTAAAAAGCTGGTATCTGCTTACAACCATGCGAGTGAGCTTAGAAGCAGGCCCTGAAGCCCCAGTCTTGTGTTGAGATGACAAGAACCCCACTCAACAGCTCAGCTGCAACCTCATGAGAGACCCTGTGCCACTCAAAAAAGCAGCTGATTCCTGACCCGCATAAATTGTGAGATAAAAAATGTTTGTTGCCTTGAAGTTGCTAAGCTTTGGGTAATTTGTTACAGAGCAATAAATAACTAATATAGTATCTGCTCTTTTATCATCTTATCAATCTTTTTGCCTGTCAACAGTATTTGTCATTTTTCTTCACTCCTTTATTATCTGTCTTCATTTCTTCTTGATTTCAAAAAAAATTTTCCTTTTTGACTACTATTTTCTTAAGGCATTAAATGTTCTGTTTATCTGCTCAAATGTTTCTTCTGATTTATTCATATCTAAAATGATTTT